CGTGGGCAACACGAAGCATTAAGTGCATCAAGTACAAAATGTGTCCATCGCTGGCGTCCAGCGTCAGCGTCAACACGAACCATTAGACACATCAAAGTCACAGGTAGCACAAAAAGTGCCGCCATATCCACGAAGTGAATGATGATGAGGGGGCGAAGCTCCGGAGGTAAACCTTGTAAACCATGAATCCTCTGTACATTTTGCCCACTCGATTTTATTACATCGCTCCCCCTAGCATACGTCGCCGCACTTAATCGAAATATTGCCTTCAACCAATGACACGCACCATATGTGACATCATTCCTATTTTATAAGATCTCGCGTCTTTCATCAACTACAAGTACCGCTTTCTAGTTTATAACATCTTGCATCTTTTCATCATCAGCTACAAGTACCACCATCTAGTAAACACTACAAGAACTAAACGAGAGGTGGCTACATACAGGAGACGGTACCGCCATCTAGTGAACACTGCAAGAACTAAACTAGAGGTGGCACATACAGGGGACGCACAGCCCACGCCCTAAGGAGCTTCGCCCCTAAAAAGATCACAGCATATCCATGGAGTGAATGATGATGAGTGGGGCCGAGCGTCCATCAGTTCGTCCACGCTTCCGCCCATCTCAGCCAGTCGTTCTTGCTTCCGTCCATCTGTGCGTCCATGCGTCAATTCGTCCTTGAGTCCGTCCGTGAGTGCATCTATCCATCCGTCTGTTTGTGCGTCCATGCGTGTGTCCCGGAGTCCGCCTCTCTGTGCGTCAAACAAACAGACAGACAGACGACGGATGGACGCCGCCAGCAGATGATTGATGGTTTGCCGATGAAGCTCTGCGAAGCAGCGCCCCACTTAACATCATTGTCTCCGTGGATATGCTGTGAGATAGTTACTACATACTTGCATACATACAGGTGACGACCGACCCACGCCTTAAGAAACTTCGCACCTTAAAAATCATGGAATATCCACAAGGTGTTAGATGACGAGTGTGGAGAAGCGCGCTGGCGTGCAGACGGACAGACGCACGCACGCATGGATGGACGGATGGATGGACGGACGGTTACGTTTTGAGCTTGATGCATGTAACATCTTGACGGTGACGCTGGACACCACCGACAGTTACGTTTCGAGCTTAAAGGGCCTATCAATAGGCTCCGACTTTTTTTTACACCCCCAAACAAGCTCCATACTTCGTAGAGTAGGCCGCCGCGATCACGTTTTCTGAATATAACAAGGCTGCGCGCTGCGCACAGCCTCCGTTTCGAAAAACAGTTGCCGCACTCCTTTTGTACGCCTAAGAAATCTCATCGCATGCGCAGTGGCGACGACTCGGTGATCGGAGACGTGACGTAGCACAAAAACAGGGCAAGGTTCCATTTGGCGTTGCATAAGTCTGTTGCCAAAATTTGTGGTGGTTGTTGCCAGACTGCCGCTAAATTTGGCAAAAAATGTTTCTCCTGTAGTTGTGGCTTTTCCGTAAGAGTTTGGTGCTATCCGCGGTGCACTTCTTGGCTGAAAACTTTTCTCCTGTAGTTGTGGCTTCTCCGTAAGAGTTTGGTGCTATCCGCGGTGAATTTCGCGAGTGCATGAGCGACGCTTGCCGTTTTAATTAACGGAATGGACCGAGCCTAGCAGAAGTCGAGCGCGACGCTTCTGTGCAATTAAGAGGCCGTTTTAATTCCGTTTTAATTAACGAAATGAACCGCGCATTACAGAATTTGTTTTCTTTACGGAATATACCGCGCCTAGCAGGAGTCGAGCGCGGTGCTGCCGTGCAATTAAGAGGCCGTTTCAATTCCGTTTATTTAACGGAAGGAAACGAGCCTAGCAAAAGTCGAGCACAGGATATCGGCGAGCGATCACCTCCATTAATCGAAGGAAAAGGTCTTTCACGTTGAGACGTGCAACGACCAAGTACGTCTCGAGAGGAAAAAAAAAAAGGAGCTTTGCCCCTGCCTACCCAGCATTGTGTGTCCCGCGGAGCTGGGACAGCTAGCTGTTTCCTGCAACCATTGTACCTGAAGTGTGGGTCTGCTCGTTTTTTTTTGCCGGGGCGATTGTACGTGACGACTTACTGCATCGTGGGTCACCATAATTTAGCCGAGGTCCTTGCGAATTCCCCATCACTCGGATGTCGGCGGCCGCTTCTGTGCTGTTCCCGACTGTCTATCTGACGGAGAAGCCACAACTACAGGAGAAAAATTTTCAGCCAAGAAATGCACCGCGGATAGCACCAAACTCTTGCGAAGAAGCCACAACTACAGAAAAAAAATTTTCTGCCAGATTTAGCGGCAGTCTGGCAACAACCACCCTTTCAGTCTGGCAACCATTTATGCAACGCCAAATAGAACCTTGCCAAAAACAGTACATAGTGAAGTCGACGACAGTTCCTGTTTCTGGCCACACCTACGACCGAGTTTTTCAATCATACGAAATGCGGAACTACCCATATTCTCCATGCATCAAAATCAGAACAGTTCACTGACCCAGTAGTTGGCAGTGAGCGGACGGTAACCCCACCTTTTGATAGACGCACCCACTAATAGTCGCATTTGTTGTGTTTTATGTTGTCGCTTCCAGATGGCAGAACAATCGGACGAGAACCGGCGCATTCAGCATGGTATCGCCGTGATGGCAGAACAATCTCTGGCCCTATAGAGTTACTGTATATGCTAACTCACGGCCGGAGTCGACGCTCCTTCGAGCGCCAGAGAAGGAGTCGCGTCCGGCTGTGGCTAACTTTAGGTCAGAGTTGCGCCACTTCTTTCCGGGTGCCGTTTACCCGGCTTCTGCGGATTTGCGCAACGCTATTGGTCGCGCGCTGTCACGTGGTTATAAGTGGTTCAAATGCAGTGCGGAGAAGCCAACTCTAAGCAGATGCCGCCGACAACGCCGATGCTCCGCAGATTCCGGGCAGGCCAAGCGCTGTTAACATCGGGTGGGGTGTTATTCTCGCGCATTCTCGCGTTTTCGCAACGCTTCTTAACGAATCGGTACTGTAGCGATTTCCCTGTTGGTCGCGATAAGTGTGGTAGGAAGGGCATTCTATGTTGAATTGTACTACGTAAAGCCCATGGGGTTAGAAGCACCGAGAGGTGTTCCGCAATGACAGGGTGTTGTGTGCCGAACTGTCACAACCGCAGCGGAAACGGCAAGCCGCTTTTCGCGGTGCCACGAGCACATTGTGCTGCGCAAGTACGCCGCCGACTCCAGTGGCTTCTGCGAATGGGCCGTGAGAACTGCCTCCGAAAAGAGCTAGGCTATGCGAGGTAAGTTGCATTCGGTCATTGTGAAAGTCGTTACTTTATTCATTAACAGCGCACAATAGCATTCACTCTGTGTGCGTGTCTAGGTAGAGGCGTTGTGACCATTTACGGGCTGTGTTCAATTTTCCTATGTACTATCGCTGACTGCAAGTTTATTAAAGTTGTTGCAGGGCCATGATAAGAGTTAGCAGCGTCATACGATCGTGTAGCCGTTGTGTCCAACTCGCCCTTCCTAATGAGCATGGTTGTCGTTTCTGTGCTTATGAGCTATTTGCGTTGGTGTATTTTAGTTGCATCGTCTTCTTTGTTTTTGTTTTGTTTTTAGTGGACGTTATTGTGTTTCGAATCAGAAATTGCAATAAAATGCATGTAGTTGCTTGCCTCGGGAGTAGTTTACTATATCGGCGCAGCATCGACGAAAATTGGTGGCTAATTAAAATTGCCTAATGAGCTACTATCTTAGCATGCGTATAACAGTTATTAGAAACGAACTGCAGTGTCACATATACCTCAGCCTTGGCATATGATTGTAGCTTCGCTATTGTGAATCTGCTTTTCGCGTGCCTATACAAAAATGGTTTTGTTACCTTGATAAGAAGTACTTTGAACAGCAGGGATAACACTGAGAAGCTAGCTATCGAGTTGTGAACGAACTGCTAAATTACAGTGGCATGCATGGTCGCACAGTGCTGCATTTTTATTACTCCATTAGCCCAACAGTGCTTATGTCTTTGATGCATTGTCTTTTGCACTAATTGTTATGAATTACTCTGCATATCTGGAGGACCACTTCACTCTTGACCGATTTGAAGATGAGAGTCTACCAGGAAGGAAGCGACTAAAGCCAGCTGCAGCTCCTAGCATTTTCTGTAGTGAGGGTAAATTGAAACAAATCTCAGCGCATTTTGCTAACATTCTATTTTTTTATAGCTCACCATTGTGCCATAGTATCTGACAATAGCAGATCATCATTGGCTCCTGACAAGAGTGAAGAAGCAGGGTTATCACCATCAAAGCTAGGTAACTATCTATGATGTTCACAATTTATCAAGATTACTGTTATGAATGAATACCTGCCTTGGACCTTCATATTGTCTTTACGTGTCTCCGTCTTGAAGGGAGGCATTGAGATGCAGCAGAAAAGAACTGCACCTACATTATCTACTGGTGCTAAAGGCTTGTATTGGTCTTCAAATGGCATGACAGATGTCTGCAATGTTTAGCGTGTTTTATGCAATCTTATTTTGCACGTGAGTTGCCAGAAGTATCAGCTACACCTGATATCCCTGCTGCGATGATCCTGGAACATTGATTGATTCCACTGTCTTCAGGCGAGTAAATAGGGTACACTTTGAAAAATGGCTTTTTAAATAATTTTCAGTTTCATGCTCGCGTAAGCATATTCGCTTCTATTTCATTTATACTGTAACGGCCACAGCATCAGCATTGCATTCAGACTACCGGGACAATTGCATGAAAAATGTGCTGCTAGTGCACGCTAGCGTTCGATAGCAGTCAATAAAATACTTCTGAACCCAGCGGTCGTGTTGTGTTCGCCCTCCGTCTGTTAAAACCGAGACTTTGCCAGTCTGCAGGTCGCTCATAGCCACAATACATATGCTTAGTATATCTATTTTGCCACTCTCAAAGCGACACTTTTCTAGTACGACAGCCTTTGCTGGGTCATTCTTGACACAGATATTCTTGATAATTTCATTCTGTGTTTGGCTTTGCAGGAGTGACCGGAGCACAGCAGTCCAGTTGATACTTCTCAGCACTCACTGCCTGCCTCGCAAGGTCTGCTCATTACTCCAGCTTTTCATTGGACAAATTTAAGCTAGTTGTAGTTAGGCAGAACTATTGTTCTATTCATTTACTCTCATAAATGTTCTAGAACATTCAAACTAGCGATTTAAATGTCCCAGAGTAATGATATCAGAGCCTAGAGCTCTGCCTTCTGCATGAGTCAGTTACCTCGTTTACTCTAAGCATGCTTATATTGACAAAAGTTTAAACGAAATAAGCTTAATATTGCTGTAATTTAACTTTATATCTCACCATAATAATATGCTCGGATGTGTAGACGGTATGTTCTTTTTGCTTGCTGTTAGCTTGCCTTTTTTAAACTCAGCACGGGGAAGTAAGCCTGCATATATGCAGGAATAATAAATATATGTCCAGGCATGGAACTTCGTATGACTTATGATTTTGTTGCTCTTATTCAGCAGTAACTATGAGCTGGCTAACTCATGCAAGAGCTGACGTGCTCAGTCTCAAATCAAGTTGTGAGTCTGAGTCAAAGCGTGGTTGTGTAATATTTTGGTGAACTTGAGTCTGCTTGAGAAAAATTTTAATGAGTGAGTGAAAGTGAGATCTAAATGAATAACATATTGTATTAAGTGATGCTATATTGTGGTGCTACCCACTCAACTCCAGAAATACTGTCAGGTTACATAGACCCATGTGTATACTCGTCTCTTTCCACATACTTCAAAACATGCAGAACATAAAAATTTTGTCCAGTGGTAGAACTGTTAGGACTAAGTATGCATTATATGCATTTTTTCAGCAACTGTGATACCTGCCAAGTCCGACAGAGTGCTTTGTCTGGAGCGCAGGCTTGACCTGGAGCAGAAGCGGTGGCGTAAAGCAGAAAGTGAGAGAGACAGGCTTCGCGAGTCCACTTGGCCGTGTGTTTTCTAGTGGCCAAATCAATGTACTAGAAAAAGGAACCATGCGAGGGAAGTCTTGGTCGCCAGCATCGGTTCAAAAGGCGCTCCACGTAAAAGTTGCCTGTGGCAGCAAAGGATACGAGTTTGTTAGAGAAAACATTGCCCCTTTACCAGCAACAAGAACCCTGCAGAGACACATTGAACACATAAAGTTCAAACCTGGTAAATACCACTACACTATCATTTCTGAAGTATTTAAGACGTCCCCTGAGAAGCTTGAACCACTAAACTTCAAGCAGGTTGATTTAGGTGGACTGGGGGTTCATAAAAATGAAATAAAATAAAGCTAACCAACCACTTATATGCAGATATCCTGCATGAAGTTTTTGCAGCCCTGAAAGAGAAGGTGGCTACAATGGCCCCAGAAGAGAGACATGCATGTTTTTTAATGAATGAAACTGCAGATTTCACCTTGGCTTGATTACGACGTGTCCACAGGGAACATTATAGGTAGGATAACTGGGTGTATAAATTGACTGACTATGCTTTAGGTGGTTATTTTCATGAATTTGTGTGGTCTTTTACTTCATTGATTGTATTTTTTTTGTTCTTTCAGGTCAGCGAACTGTGCGCCCTTCAAATCCATCCACAAACGACCAACTTGCAAACCATGCACTTGTTTTTGTGCTGGCGGGGTTGACAAACAGGCGGAAACAAGCCCTTGCTTATCAGCTGCCATGTAAGTTGTGAAGCTTTTTTTCATGCCTGTGCCCCTTTAGAACATTTCAATTTCCTGGCCCCACATGCTTTCTTTACCGCACCTATTGTGCTCTGAGGCTGGTTGCTGTTTTTCCTAGAGGTTATATGTCTAGTACCTTCACATAATATGAAATGCAATTTAGAATGTTGCCCTAGCACCTTTTTTCTAGAAAGTTGTGCATATAGGCCACACTTCTGCTAAAATCATTTTTACACAGTTATCCGATGTGAGTTTTCTGAATTTCTTCTTCGGTAGCTTCATCTTTCGATGCAGGGGAAGTAAAGAACTGCCTCTTCGATGTAATTATGCATTCTGAAGCTGTTGGCATAACAGTCAGCGCTGTTGTGACTGACATGGGACCTGGCAACATGGCCATCTGGCGACTCTGTGGTATACAAGCTTCAAAGTATGGGTAACCAAAAATCTCATACCCTCACCCTTGCCGGAAAGGAAGGCAGCTGTACTTCCTTGCTGATGCCCCTCATCTCTTGAAAAATCTCAGAGGTCACCTTATTCGAGGCCAGGAGATAATTCTACATGACACCACTATTAAAAAAGAGAACCCTCCAAGCAACAATGTAAGATTAGTGCCTTCTGGTTTCACTGCATAGGCTTGGTTTGTGAACACAAGCTGTTCACTGGATTACAGATGCTGTCAATAGTTTTTATTTGTTAGGGAATGGGTGATACCACATTCAAAAGGGTTTTTCAATTTGCAAGTAACTCCGCATACCTTAATGTAGCCACTACGGCCAAGCGGCAACAGCTATTGTCACTCTGCTGTAAACGGCATCTTTTTAGTAGTTTAGTAGTGCTGACAGTTGGTATTGGTTCATGGTTAAGAACGGCACAAGAATACGAGACACAAAAGGAAGAAAACACAAGGACCAGCGCCTTATGATTTTTTTTGTGACCACGCTGCTGTCATATATGTGTGAGTCGACTAATAAAAATTGGTTGAGAGTCCGGTGCCCGTACTTGTGCTTTCATCATTTTTGTGTCACATGTTCTTGTGTCATTCTCAACCATAATCAAGTTTGCTTAATATTTGGCGAAAAAACTAAATACTGTTGAATCGAGCTGTGCAACATTCTTCAGTATGCCTGTCAGAAACCTAAGCCTAAATTCTAACAAGTGTGCCTCTGGCACCGCTGCTCAAACGCGTCCATGCTAGCGACCATATCCATGCGATCGTTGCGCGTATTCATTGCGAAGCCGACATGAGCATGTTCAATGCGAAGCCGTGAAGACAGTTCACACAGAAACTGAGCCCTCTGGTCAGTCACAAAAAGAACACTATCACTCGTTCTAATTGCCAATGGAATCATCTATATTGTCGTAATTTGACAATAAACATCAGTTAAGTTGCCGTGACTTGTAAATATTGCCAATCAATTGCCTCCCATTTGTTGAAAACTACGCTTGCGAGTGTGCTCAGTGCGCGTTTCTTGTAATTCAAGCATTCGTAGAAATAAAGATATAGGCTGCCATGCATTGTAAATTGGCTTTTGCAAAACAGTGCCGACTGCTATGTCAAAAGCATCCACCATAATGGAAATCGGCACAACTGGTTTTCTGTGCGCCGCCAACATTAATTACACAATACATTAGAAATCCAATGAGGATTGCTTCCAAGGGAGGACAGAAGATTTTGAGGAAAATTTCGTTAGCAGGGGCTGTATTGCAGCTGATGTTTCCACAAGTGGGCATGTCTGCTTGTCGAAACAAGTTGTCAGCCAGTCCACTTTTCAAAATGCTGGCTCTTTCATAAACCCCATTTACGAATTTTTTGTCAATAAATATTACAGGCCATTTAAGATTCAGTTTGGTGGTTATTAGACAGAAAGTCACTAATTAAATTGTGCAAGTAAAAACAAATATTTAGCGGTCAGGGGTCGTTTAACTAGTAACGCACATGCTATGCTGTGACAACTGGATAACCATTTAAGTCAAAGTGCATACTTATGTCCTATATTTTTCAGGTCTCCCTAAAGCACATAAAGAAGGACTGTGAACTTGATGCCAAGCACAGCTGAAGCTCTTGCCACACTTGGAGCTGCGGGACTTGGAGCCTTCGCACTTCGATAATATAAACGTTGCTACAGCACATGCTCTTTTTCACCATGCTAGAGCTGCTGGCCTTCGGTACCTTGTTCACAAAAATCATCTCCCAGAAGAAGCTCTCACTACAGCATTTTTCCTTGAACAAGTTTTCCGATGGTTCGCTATCATGACGTCACAAACCATGAAGACTGCTATGACTGAGCTCTGCCCTCAGAAAGGCAGATGAAGCGAAGTGCTTTCTCATTACTTTCATAGGTATGGTGACAGACATGGTGATTGTCGACAGAACAGGTAAAAGTTCCTAGAAGACTTTTCAAACAGGTGCGCATCTCTCCACACTTTGTGCTGTGGAGTTGTGCCAGCTGTATATTGCAGAAAGGAAGTTTAGGTTTTTGATGTTGTGCACGCTGAGCCAGATGCCTTAGAAAATTTATTTAGCACAATTCGTTTCAAAACGCCAATTCCACGTGCAAGAGAATTTAAGGCAACTTTCAGGGTAATCGTGCTGGTACAATTCTCCAAGCAAGCCGCCATGGCCCCTATGCAGTCGATGACGCGCAAGATCTTTTAGCTTTTCTGAAAGATAAAGGTGGATGCGAGAAGCAATTAGGTGAACAGGTGGATACCAGCTTTGAGAGCGTTTCAGAGCTGTGTGAGGACGAAGAAGATGGCTTTCTTTATTTTCCTGGATACATCGCATATGCTGTTATTCACAAGTACAACTTTGCTGTATATGCAAGGGGAGCATGGTTGACAGCAACAAGGCCAATCCTGAGCTTTTGCCCTTGAAATGCTACATAAAGGAAGGGCGAAATCCACTGAAAGTTCCGTCTGACTTGCTTGTAAAATTGCTGCAGCATGAGTGTGAGCCACTTTTTTGAGTGAATGAATCTCTGCTACTCGATTGAAGCTACTCGTTGGAGAGCTTGAGGAAGGCTGCTGAGGAAATTTTGAAACTTTCAAAAACTTTTCATCATGCCACAGTGTAGCACAGAGGACTGCAACCCATTTTTTCTTTGCAGGCTGAGGTTCGCTATAAAGAAAAAAAAAGGCTGAGCTTTTGATACAACTTCAGCAATCTGCCAAGTGTGGCTCCAAAAGCGTTGGCATGCGCATGTTGTGCCAAATTGTCAATTAGGGCACCACGTTTATATTACCATTCAGCTCATTTTAGAGATATAGCAAGTATAGTTGTAGGGGTCTGACTTCGCACAACCACATTATGATTACGAGAGATGCCGCAGTGGGGGGGGGGGGGGGGAGACTAAACCTTTCGACCACCTGGGGTTCCTCAACATGCAGCTAATTTATTCTCAGTTTCAGCTGATGACAATGCCACGAGAGTCTGCAACCTCAAGGGTAAAAGTGTGTATGCTTCCTAATGGATCGCCATTACTAATTTAGAATTCATGTTTTGAACTTCTTTTTCACCATTTCAGGCTCCACCCAGGATGAATAGTTCCCTTTAGAGCGGCAAATTTGTGTTTCTTATTCAAGGCACTCGGTATTGCAACAAAGGTAGTGTAATACGGTAATTTATGTGTTATAGTAAACATTTTAAATAAACTTCTTGATTCTGAAGCCATTCATTATTTGTTAATGTATCAGTCAAATGAAATCTGCGGCAAGAAGTATACTTGAAATTAGTTTTTGGTTATTTGGAAACTAGGAAGAGATAAGATATACTTTTGACAAAGGTCAACGAATGTCGCACGACTGGTCGAATATGGTACTTTCTTCATATGCAATTGAAAGCTGCAAAATGAAATTGAATGAAAACAAACTTATTATGCAGGAGGTTACGTATGCCCAAACCTCATTGTATTTTGCTCTGTTGTCCCATTGTAGATGCCGGTAAACTTTGCGCTGTCAGTGCACGTTAGACACCAGATGGTCAAAAATTTCGAGTCCAATACTACATCTCTCCTAATGATATCGTGGTTTTGGGACGTACAACCCCAGATATTATTTCCTTGCTCCTAGTCAATTCGAATAGCAAATACAAGTGGTGTACAGAAGTTTTTCAATAGTGTGTGAAATGCTAAAGTTTGTTCAGTCAAATGAGCTAGCACTTGGCATATATTTTTGTAATGTTATGGAAGTGCAGTGCAATACGTATTTGCTTGTGTTCATTGTATTAGGATGAGAAAAGTGCACTAAAAGCCTCGATATCTTTTTGTGGTATTACAGAAAGATTTCACGTGTGCAATTGACCCCTCGCTATGTTTTTCTAGTGTTATAGGGGTGGTAGTGTTAATAATGTATCTGTTTGCTTGTGTTATTTGTTTTAGGTTGTG